TATTTTACCCTTCTGCATCTCCACTTTTCCTTTATCTTCTCTTTTCTCTCCTTCGTCTTCTTCCTCGTCCATTTCTCTATCTTTTATTTTTCTTCCTCTTCCTGTCTCTATCTTTCTTTTACTTTATCTTCCTTCTCGTCCTTTTCTTCCATGTCAGCATCCTAATTCTACATTTTCATTCTTACAAGAGTAGGAAGATGGATATCTTTATATTCTTCGGCTTTTCCTCTATTCTATGTTTTTTTTCCATATTCCATTTCTCTGTTTCTTTTTCGTCCTCTTCTCATTTCCCTATCTTCCTTTCTTTTACTTCCTTTCTTCTTCCTTGTCGACATCCTTATTCTACATCTTCCTGCTCTTCAGTTTCTCCTCTTCTCCATTCCCTATCTTCTTTCTCGTCCATCTTTCATTCCTTTCTTTGGATCTTCTCACTAATTATTTATAAATGTTGTATTTTCGTGCAGATTACCCGCGGTTTATATACGTTTAAAAACAATTAGAAATGGGTGCGGGTTATACGCCGATTTTAAATTAAAACTACGAATTGACACTTATAGAACAATGAGGTGTTGGATCAGGCGAAATTTTCACCTGTTTGTTCTATCAACTTCCGCCGGTTATACGACAAAACCTGTGTTGTATACACGCCTTTTATTCTCCTCTCTTCTTTCTCTATCCTGAAACTTCAGCCATTTATAACAATTTGCTATAAAATACCATCAAGAAAATTAATCCAAACGTTATCCCGAATTTATGAAAGAGAAGGTGCGATAAAAATTTTCACATCATTTATTTTGTCACAACTTTGTTCAATTGAATTGATGTGTAGTAAAGTTACAGCAGACAGACAGACAGGCTTTGCCAGATGGAAAGTTTTTCTCCTATCGAAGACAACAACGCTTAACAATACGTCGCCAAATTCTCATAACTTAGCTCTATTCTGTCTGTAAGCCAGATTGATCTCTTCTTTACTCTTCTCTCGTGCTAGGAATTGTCAGTAGTGTATCCGGACAATCACACAATCGATCCCTTTCTTCCCTGTGTTCTAGGTTAACAGGAATCAAGAAGATTGTATCTATACTTTTATTTTTCATTAAATAACCTTGGCGCAGCTTAATTCTTATATATAAAGAAGATTTATATATCTTTGTATATTATTTAAGGTAAGTGAGGTTATACCTTAAATTCTTCGTTAGTTCGAGTAGACACTGCTGCGAAATGATCGTAATAAGGGACAATTTTTACAACTTAACAAACGGGATTTTAAAGCGCCTCGNTAAAATATAATCTTCGTATTAAAATAGTATTAATTCAAATATTAAAATTTATATTGTTATAATTAATACTTTTGAAAGTTTTTTTTTTACAGTTAAAATATAGCGTGGTCCAAAACTCAGTTAACCGTTATAAAGAATATTTTCATCAAAATTTATAATGTTGTAAGTTTACGATTGGTATTTAGAGGGTGCCTGGAACTTAGAAAAATACGAAATACAGTTAATCAACTATTGGGCCACCCTTATTTATTTATGTACTTAAATAATAGCGAATTCTTACTTATTTTCTAAATATAGATTTATTATTTTCTAGTTTTTAAAAATTAATTTTAATTATCCTCTCCATTTTTAAAGCAAAGGTTAAAGAATAATTAGAAGGAAAGAGAATCAATTATCTTTTCGAATTTTTAATTTTGAGGATTACTTACTTAAATCTTACACAAACTCAATTCTTAAATAAATTTTCTTAAAATTTAAAGTATAAAATTCTTTGTCAGCTCTCTTACCCGGCGTATGAGGTGTTCAATATAGGGATCAAGATGAAAGTCATAAATTATGATCACTCCATCAGTTACAGACCCAAGGGATCATTTGTAACTTATCGAAGCGGATCAGAGATTGGTTGATTACACTAAATCCTTTACACAATAAAGCACTCGAGTCTTTCCTTCTAACAATGAGAAAGAAAGTTGTTTAATACGTCTTCAAGCTTTTAACGTTAACGATGAATTCAGAAAAAAAAATGAAGATTATCGCTGTAATTTTTGTGGTTTTTTTTATTATTATTTTGTTGTTTTATTATTTATTATCTTGCACGTTTTGTCGATCGAGTTTTCTTTAATTTTTATCACAACCAGTTAAAGATCTTTGGTGCAATATACAGAAAGGTTATTCGAATTTATAATTAAAATATATTAAAGATTTCCATTTGTTTTAATGGATCCAGATGTATTTTAATTAAGGAAACAGTTAAAGAAATGTTTGCTGTTCATTTTACTGTTTCTACTGTTGTTTTCCATTACTGATTCCCACTATTGTTTACCACTACTGTTTGCCACTGTTGCTTGCAACTGCTGTTTTCCACTACTGTTTGCCACTGATGTTTGCTGCTACTATTACTAAAATTACAAAATGTTGTAGTTATCAATAAAATTAAAAAAGTAAAGTGAATTGGGAGGAGCGTCAGGCATATACAGAATGCTAATGGAGTAGAAGCGAGTCGAATTTTGAACGGAGCAACTCGTGTAATTTATTCAAAGTTTTAATGAGAAGTAATGGCTTTGAATAGAAACGAATCAATTTATTTGATTAACAAAGAGAGGACTTCTGTTGTTCGTCTTGCTTACGGTTCTGGTATTTGATAAGAAAGAAAA